GCCCGGCGCCTCGCGGGCCGCGCGCCCCGGCGGCACAGACGTGGCTCGGTGGCGGCGCGGACGCCCGGAGCGCACACGTCCCCGCCCTGGGATGATGTGGCCGCGGGGCCCCGGGCGCCCGGCTGCCAAGAGCACACGCGGCTGCACGGTCCAGCTTTCCAGTCTGAGGCTGGAAATGATGACTCCGCCGCTCGCTTCCCGGCTCGCCGGGAACCCGCGGACCGCCGGTAGCAGGTCTGAAAGGCTGTCTGTCCCGCGCCCGGACGGGCGTCCCCCGGGCCTGTCCCCTAGACCCCCAGGCGGACACCTCGTGCCTGGGAAAATCATCTCGGACTCGCGGGCGCGCCACGTCTGGGCAAACATTATTACGCTTTGGGTGTATGCTTTAGGTTTTACGTTGATAGAGGTTGGCTCCCGTGTCTTTTCCTACGGCATGGACCCAGAAAAGGGGGCACTGTGTCGTCTCCCAAACTTTCCTGGGCGTGAGAAGCCTCTGGGTTTGTCTCTTAGAAATGCAGATTCCCCGGCGCCCTTCCACGCCTTTGGCACGAGACTCTCTGGGCCGCAGGAGAGCGCCTGGGGCCCGCGTGCCAAACACCGGTGAAGTCAATGGACGGCCTTACCTCGGGTCCTGGTTCTTGGCGGCCTCACCCCTTCCGCCAGAGAGACGCACAGAGCCTTGATGCCCCTTTTGGTGACCCGGCGTGTTGCCCTCTCAGAGAGGGTGGGGATCCACCTGCGGTGAGCTACACTCGCTGAAGGAGCCGGTGTAGCAAGCATGGTTGCCACCGCTAGGAGAATTCTGTCCCGTGACTCCCCACCAATGCCTGACAGTGTCCCGGTTCCAAGAGGCCTGTGGCTCATGTTGGAGGAAACTCCCTTGACCCTCTTTTGCTACGGGGAAAAGAGGGTGAAGGGAGTCTCGCAGCGTTCTCCAGAACCAGGTCAACCCTCTCAACAAAGTACAGGCCTTTTTAAAAAACAACTGAAAGGGAGCGGCAAGGGCCCCTTCTCTGCCCCCAGGAATGGCTCAACGCTCCACCTGGAAACAAGGCCCCTGTGGAAGCCCCAGTTTAAATCCAGCTCCGTTTACTGCTTATCCCTCTGCAGAACCTCTCTGTTCATTCATTCGCTCAAAACGCAACTGGCAATGCTGTGTTAGGGACCTGGGAAGCCAAACTAGTGAGAAATGCCTTTTGCCTTCAAAGACTTTTCTGACTGGTAGGACAAACGGATAACTCGGGACTATGGAACAGTGTTGATTGGTTACTTAACCTATTTTAATCATCACTGGGTTGTTTGTGAACTATGACGTTATTTACAGATGCATTTGATGTGATCACAGTATTGTGCGGACGTAATGCGGCCATTCGATTTAAAGTCCCGAATCTATGGAGGAGGAAACTGTCGTGTATAAAGGTTAAGTGACTTCCGCATGGTCACAGGGCAAGAGGTGGGTCAGAGCCCACACCAGACCTGTTGGGGAATACAGCCTGTGGCTTTAACTCTGACTCCTAAGCTTTGGGTTCAGCATCTGTTAAGTGAAAGTAAAGTACAAATCTCCCAGGTGATAGTGAGCACTAAATAAGCTAATAACAGTGCTTCCCTCACCCATGGGATTCCTGGTGTTTGATAAGATTTCAAATCCCCTGGTATTTGCACTGGACATTGTTATTTGGAAGGTCTGGGAAGTTTTCTCAAGTACTCAAGTGGTTCTGAGTTCCCAGAACTTTCAGAAAACGCTGTGTAAGAGAATTAAAAATTGATTCCTTTGAAGTCAGTGGGACAGCCTAGTTTTAGGATGAGTCCAGCTGCTGGCCTCTCGAATCTTTCTGACTGGGCAAATTTTTTATTTATAACGGACCTCATCTGTGCTCTGCACTGGGCTAGGGGCTTTTTTCTCTTCTCATGATTCATTTCTTTTTTGTTCTTTTATATTCAGCTGTTACTCTTGACTGTAGAAATCCTGTGTGTGTGTGTGTGTGTGTGTGTGTGTGTGTGTGTGTGTGTGTGTTTTAACCTGGAAGTTGCAAAACTCTTTCCAAAGGGCTAAATGTACCCCCAAGACTGTCCTTGCTTTGTTTTTGACTGAATGAAAGAAAACAGCCAATGCGGGGGGTGCACTCCCCCCCCGGCGGGGAAGAAAGACAGGAAGGAAAATCCTAGCCACAGCCCTGGTTTCTTAACCATTTAATTTCCCATGTCTGTGAAGCAAGGGGTCTGGACTGACACTCTATCCATAAAGACTCCGTGCCCATCCATAACAGCCAGCTAGGCAGACAGAATCTTACGTCCGGCAGATGGTTGGCCTTTGGATACGAACTCTGCCTCCTCGTTCACAGGAAATGGAAACCGACGTGGCATCCAGTATTGGATTGTTAGGTCAGGCTACGGGGTCAGAGGCCAGGATCTGCTCATTAAAATTTCAGATAGATGGTTTCTTGTCCCTTCCTTTCCAGAAGAACTGACCTTTGCAATACCGTTTCCTGTGGGCTATTTTTGTTTAACAGCCTGGGCATTCATGAACAGGGCACTTATTCCTTACCCAAGCTCACATTTAGTTCAAACCGCTCTGAGTAAAGCCGATGAGCAATGGAGGCAGATTTTCCTAAGCCAGGGTTTTACAGGTCGCCACTCTGACTTCTGTGGTCAGCCTCCTCGCAGCTCGACCTGTTGATGGAGCTTCAGACACAGGCTTCCAGAGCAGCTTTTATCTATCCAAGCACAGCTCCCCAGGCTTGCTGCAAAAGTAAACAAACACAGGCACCCCACGATTAAGATTCTTGGAAACCTTTTTAATTCCATCTCGTGGCGGGGGCTTGAAACTCATGACTCTCTGTCTGCGATAACGTGGAGTCTGTTTGCTTTTCATAGGTCTTGCTTCCAGAACCCATGCCCCACCTCAAGAGGCTGCTCCAGTTCTCACTCAAGAGCACTGAACAAAGAATGCTTTGGTGGGGGGGGGGGGGGGGGGGGGGGTGGTGATCAGGGACTCGAGAGGGCTCCGGGTCAGAAGGGACGTGGAAGGCCATTTGGACCAGCTCCCTCCACCCCCATCTACACTCAACTGCAGTGCCCAACCGACCATCCACGACTTCCTTGTATACCTACTGTGACGGCGAACTCATTCCTCATTACTCAAGAGAGACCATTTTAAGTACCCCAAGTGACTGACAATATCCAGGAGGAACAGAGAGCCACCCCATGGCCAGAATGCCAGCTGCTGAGACGTCCCCCTCCACCCCCACCGCTGTCCCTTCCCACTGTCACTGGGCCAGGGTGAATAAAAAGACGGCACTCAAGAAAAGGTAAACAGAGAATCTCAAAAATAAACACAAACTCACGAGAATGACCAAATATTTGAAGGTCCTCCTTCATTCAAGAAATAAAGCTTAATCCCCTTCCCTTTTCGTGTGGGCTGGGCTTGGAGATTCGTTCTGATGAATAAAATTATGGCCCAAGTGCCCGTGCAGGAGCTCTGAGACTATAGCATGAAAGGCTAGAGTGACTCAGGTCGCTCACTCCGAAGAAAACCAGCTGTCACGAAGACTTTCCATCAGTCCAACGGGGAAGAACTGAGATAGGAAAGGGAGGTCTCCTGTCATCAGCCACGTGAATGAGCCTTCATGGAAGCCATCTTCCAGCCCAGTCAAATTTTTCAATGAAGGCAGGCCCAGGGCAGTATCTGAAGGACCCCACGGCCCAGCCACCCTCAGGCACAGACACTGCACGAGATAATGGACGTTTATTGTTTTGAGCCACTTATTGGGGAGGGGGGCGGGGGGGGGGGAGGGTGATTTGCTGAGCAGTAATAGTTAATCTGCGTTTCACAAAGCGAACATTCCATTTCTACTAGAAAGGATTTCACTATGAAGGGCACCTCCCTTGTTTGAGCTTTGAGTACAAGTTACAGACAGATGGCCCTAGGCCTCAGCTAAATAGCAGCATGACTGTCGAAGTACCTTCCATTTACTGTCACAGGCGACCCGGTTTGTGAACAAATTGTACCGTCATCCCATCTGTAGATTGACACGCCTTTTATGTGGCGAGAGGGTGCAGGAGGGGGAGGCGAGCGCACAAGCTTGGTTCTACAGCTTGACTCAGTTCCTTCTATGAAGGACGGTTGAACATGTGATTGAAGCCACAGTGACGGACGGTATACCCACCAGGACAGCCATGACCAGCAGAGCATGCCATCCAGGGGTATGGAGTTTCACCAGCTTCTCGGAGTATTTGCGAATCAGATGGCAGTGATCTGATCTAAACAGCCACTCTCCGGAAGTTGTGATACATTTTTTACCAGCTGCCTAAGAACCTGCAGGCGTTTGCTGTCGACGTGTCTTGAACACATCAAAGAGAAAATGAGATGAAAAGGTCATGCCTGCTCCTGGATGGAGGGACCCATCAGGAGAAGCACAAAAGGCTCCCACCCGTCAAGGCCGGCCACTCCCTCCTCAGGTTTCTGCTCTGGAAAGATGCATGGATTCCCAGAAGCCAGGCGAGCTGGGATTGGTGGGGCCTCTGGAGACAAGCCAGGCCCTCCATAATCAGTCTGGCCTAGTCCCCAGTAGGCTTCCTCCCAGGGAGGGGCCGGCCCTATTTTACAATAACCCCAGGGAAGGCCATTCCAAGACGTGCATATGTTTCTGAAACTCCTCCTTTACCTAATCTCTCTTGTGGCAAATTAGGCCGTTTGCCTCTTAGTCTGTGCTCTTGAAATTGGAAAATAACTGGGCACCGGCCCCCCTCTATGTATTGGAATACAGTCCCCCTTTCGTCTTTACTGTTTTAGGCAAATCAACCCCAATTTCTTTAACTCGCCCCATGGGTCCTATCCTTGCTCTCTTTAATCATGTTTTTTGCTCTGCTTTGGAGCCTCTCCAGTTTCCTGATTTCTCTTAAACTGTGGAGGCAAAATGTGGCGGAGGCTGCTTTATTGTGTCGGCTTTATCGGTGGTGGGGTCTCTCCTCTTTGGAGCCGGACTATTTTCTACTTTGGGGGTGAGGAACTATTCCGGGCAGCACCGGGGAGGCCGGCTGCTCTGATGTCGGTGAGGCCGGCCCTCCATCGCATCCACGGCATCCCTTAACTGTGGCAATGCAGCCCTCCTCTTCACTGTATCTACTTCAGCCGGCGCCCTGGATCTCAGTTTTCTATGCTTCTTTGATGGGCCTCCTTCCATGCGGGCCTTTCTCCCATTAACTACTCCTCACCGGACTCATGCAGAAAAGCCAACTCAGAGTTCTAGGGCCTTGGGTCCATTGTTCTTCCTCCCGCACTGAGCTCTGGTCTAGGATCTGATGGAGCTTTAATTTTGTCGCAGTTACCCAGCACTTGACATTTGTCATTACCACCGTGTCCTGGTCCAGCAGCAGCCAGCCCCACTGCCCCAAGCCTGCCAACTTAGGTCCGTAGCAGTGAGAAAGTGCGCCCCGGCCTCCCTGTAGAAACACTGCCAGGGTTCCTTTCCCTGAGTAGGAATGTCGCCTAATATTCTTAGGCAATATTCCCGAGGGGGTATTCAGCTGTCTTTGTCCTAGGCTGAGCTGAAGAATAAAAAGTAGTTAAGCAAACATCCCCAGAGCTCCTTCTGTGTCCTGTGCTGGAGGCGAGGGACACAGACAACAGCCCCCACTCTCCTGCCCCAACTAACTGTGTGACAGAATGGCTCTGAGCCTACCTAACATAGTCGTAATGGACAGCCTCTGTCCTGCATCTGTCTGCTCTGCCCCCTGGCCCCCAGGATCTCATCGACCCCAGAGTCCTATTCATTACCCTTCTTTTGAAGGAGGAGAGGGAGGCTCTGAGGAGTGACTTGGTCAGATTTAAAAGCAGTGCAGCTGGGATAGGAAGCCGGGTGTGTCAGACTCCAAGGATACTCTATCTCCTTTCCTCTCTGCCGAACCCTTTCTTTCTTCCTCTCTCCCTCAACCACACCCTTCCAATTAGTCATAAAGTCCCATCCACTCAGCCCCAGGAATCGCTCCTGAGTCCGTCACCACCCCCCCCCTCCAGCCCCAGGGCCAGATAACCATGGCGCCTCCCCTGGATGACCCCAGGGCCAGGTAACCATGGCGCTTACCTCTGATGAGGCTCACAGTGCTTCCCCTGGATGACCCCAGGGCTGGGTAACCACAGTGCCTCCCCTGGATGACAGTCTCAGGCCCCTCGAGCTTGATTTGCTCTCATTCCAGCTCCTGCTGTTGCAAAAGCACCTTTAAAATGAAAATCAGACGAAACTTCCGCTGAGTCCTCATGGCCTTTAGTAACACATCAAATCTCCTTCGCGGGATACTCAGGGCCATTTGGGATTTGAGAACCGCCAGGGTTCCCAACCTCATCTCTCTCCTCCCCCCACCCCCTCCCCGGCCCCATCCTTTAGCCACGTGGGACCACTGGACATTTTCAAAGTGTTTAACATTTCATGGCTGTCCATGCTTCTCTTAATGTCTGAATGCCCTTCTCCTCCTTTCTGATCCGCCCTTCAAAGCCCAGAGTGGCGCCATTTCCTCCGCACTGTTTTTTTTTTCTACTACTCCAAGCAAAATGGAGACTTAACTCTCTTTCTGTGTCTCCACTGCTGACATCGGGCTTACCACTTTGTACCATAAGTATTGTTATGCGAGCCTGCCTGCCTTACTGGACGGGGAGCCCCTCAGAGGTAGGGCCCCTTGACCTGTTACTCTTATATCTGATATGCCCATGCCTCGCCCAGGGCCTGGCAAAAAAAAAAAAAAAAAAAAAAAAAAAAAGAAGGCCCAGCAATTTCTGGTTCAGTGGATAAATGAACCAATGTGTGACTGTGTTCCCACTTGGGTCTTTAAGACTTTTGCTGTCCATACAGCCTGCCAGGCCAGGCTCAAGGATAGTGATTCCATATAAGCATATTTATTGCTGAGGTCCAAGAAAATAAGTAGGCAATATTTCATTTCTTTCCCAAGCCATTCCCCCAATAACCTCTGTAATTAGTCCAGTTAAGGCCCATTACCATTGCAAATCAAGTCAGGACTGATTTCCACAGTGCTAGCAGTCTGTATCAGGACATGTTTTATTTTCTCAAATCTTCCACTTTTAACTGCGTCTGTTACTTCTGGTGCTGTTTTTAAATGTAAGAGAAAATCAAACCGTTTTAAAACTCCAAACAACCTCAAACTGTTTTGTGCTAGTAATCAGACAATGGATAAAGATTGTGGTTATGTAGAGCTATTGCCAACAATGGAAAAAATAAATAACAGCATGAGTCAGAATAATTCGAAACCAGAAATGTGTGTTGGTAATAACTCAGAAAGTCACATGGAAGGGCCGTGGTCACAAAATCAAAGTTGATGTGTTTGTTTTTTGTTTTTCTTCATTATGATCCATTAGAGAGCCCCTCCTACCTGGTAGAGTGCCAAGAAACCTTACAACATCTAGTATTGGGAAATCAAACCCCGGCACCTTCAGGAAAATGCTGTCTGTCTTGGGGGCAGGATGCAGACAGTCTTGTGTGCCGTATGGAAAAATGACCCACAGTGATGAGGAAGCAATGTATCATTGAAGAGGGGACCGTTAAAGTCAGGGAACAGCCATTGCCGCAGCCTAATCCTTCTAGGCACATTTCCAGCAGCACGGGGGGAATGGCAGCCTCACTCTGGGTGGGGGTGATGTGGAACCGGATCCCATGACCAACTGCACTGCATGGGAATACCAGAAGCATTACCAATAGTGTGGTTTTGCTACTCAAAGCCAGCTGCTTATCCACCTTCACGGAGGCAAGAAAGTACCCCGCTTCATCATCCCCCGAAAGAATGTTGTCCCCCGTCCTGCGTTAGGCATCCTAATGACATCAGGCTTCAATCTGCCGGCTTGGTCCCCGTGACCCGCGACCACGATCTCCATCCTAGAGGTGGCCATCCTGGAGAAAGAAAGCAATGGGACAACAGAGCGTCAGTGTCACCCTCCCACCCCCTAAAGGGCGGTCCTTCAGGCCTTAAGAGAAACAGGCATCAAGGGTCTAAACATGCACCCTCTCTAGAGCTGAACCCCACCCCCTCCTTCTGCTTCGATTTACGGCAACTGACCTATTTCACTGCTCCTTTACCGACCTACTTTGGAGTTCTATTTTGGAGAGTGACACAAAAGTCTCGTGCATCCCCGCAGAAGAAGAAACGGGCGCACGGGCACACGCGTGCACACAGCCCAGAAATCAAGGCCGGAGCGGTCTTCCACACAGGAGCCTCTGCCTCCTGTCACAAAAACGCTTGCCAGCACTTTAAAAAGGGTCAACGGTGCTTTCAGAAGTGAAAATACATACATGATCATTTATTAGATGCTTACGTTCTGGGAAAATAGCTTCGGGGCCATGTCAGTGCGTGTCGTTGGACAGCCTCCTGGCCCAAACAGAAGCCAGCAACGGATACCTGAGTCATGGCAGATCTGGATGCGAATGCCCTCCCCGAACGCGCCCTGCTGAGTGTCACTTGAATCGGAGGCTGTATATCTGAGCTGTCACCCCGCCGTAACTGGTGGACTAAAATTACGTATCTGTTCTACGAGGGAGAATTATAGTCTGGGTAGCAGATGACCAACATGTGGTTCCCCAAGTGCTAGTTGTGGGTCCGCTGACAACCATCTATGGTAACAGCCATTACCATTTGCTGAGCGCTTCTTGTGGTCCAAACACCTCACCTGTATTATATATAAATCTCTCTACTACTCTGTGAGGTATGTTTTAGTGTCCCATTTTTACAGATGAAAGACTAACGCCCAGTGACACTAAATAAGTCATTCCAGACCTCCTAACCACTAAGCAGCAAACCCAAAGAAGGACCCACACCCAGGTCTGCCCCGTACGAACATCTGCATCTCCTTCCCCTAAACCAGATTGCCTCTTCTAAAAGCAGATTCCACCCAGATTTAGAGTTAAATCCTGTGATCATCCCGCGGCCAGTGAGCCATTTGGTTTCTGTCCCTTACCACCTATAAAAACGGGAGGGCTCTTTAACGTTGATAGATTTTTAGGTCAATTAAAAATGGAAAGACATTAAATGCCATGTGGTGTCCTGGATCACATTCTGGAAGAGAAAAAGGACATTAGTGGAAAAAACTAGCGAAATCCAAATAAAGGCTGGAGTTTAGTTGATAGTGATGTACCAGTGTTGGTTTCCTGGTTTTGACAAATGTACCGTGTTATTTTGGGTGCTTGTAATAGGGAAAACCGTGTAAAGAGGACGTGAGAACACTCTGCACTATCTTTGCAGCTTTTCTGTAAGTCTGAAATGATTCCAAAATTTAAACGTTGACTTTCGTAAAAAGGGACATCTAAATAAATAAAAGGAAGCGAAGGGAGAAAATAGTAGTTCTCTTCCTGTGGTTTCTGACTGTCGAGATTTGAACCAAGTATTTATTGCAGGCTGGACAGACGTGTGGACTGACACTTTCAGCTACACATCAGTACTCTCGGATCCACACAGTTATTTAAATAAATTCATTTAAAAGTGCCACCAAATGCATTGTAGTTTCTTTGTCCTTGTAGATTTTCTTAACAAGTTCCTAAGGTGGAACCATTTAATAGAAAGATTTTTAACATTACAAAGTGATCTCAAAGGCTAAGTGGGACAAAATGTGCATAGCATGTTACCATTTATCCAGGAAGATGTGATATGAAAATATGAGTATGTGTAAAATGTTATGCTATTATTATATTGTTTTGTAAACAAAAGGATAAACCATAAAATTGTTGAAAACTATTCCACATAAGGGGACAAAGGATCATGACAGAGAAGGAGTAGGTTAGCCTTCTCCGAATATACTTTGGTTTGTACATCTGATTTTGAAATCGTGAAAATACTTACACAGTTATAGAACAAATTAAAATATTAAAAAAAATCAGTCCTTAAAAGTCGAAAGCAAAGTGAAACAAACTTAGCTATATACTGATTTGTGGCCTGACCACAAAGACAGAAACTATTCCACGTGACTTCAAACATGAACTTGACTGCACACCCTTCATTAGACACAGACTAAGAACAAAAGAATGTACAAAAAGGAAAAACAAAGGGTTTTTACTGATCATGTCATGGACTATAGGGTTAGGGTTGTTATTCTGAGATTTCCAATTGATGGGATCAAGTGAAATGCCCCTTAAATTCTAATTCAGAGTATTCTTAGAAACTCATTATACATTGTGTTTTAAAAAAACATATCTTCCAGGGGTGCCTGGGTGGCTCAGTCCGTTAAGCGTCGGACTGCAGCTCAGGTCAAGATCTCACAGTCTCTGAGTTCAAGCCCCTCGGGCTCTGTGCTGACAGCGCAGAGCCTGGAGCCTGTTTTGGATTCTGTGTCTCCCCGTCTCTCTACCCCTCCCCTGCTTGCTCTCTCTCTCGCTCAAAGATAAAGATTTAAAATTTTTTTTTAAACATACCTTCCAGCTTTATGCACTGAAAAGGTCTGGAAACAATGACCGTCCAATCACCAAAGAACGTGTCCAGTGCCTAGACTACGGTCTCCAAGGGCCACGTGCATTAAATGCCACCAGGGCTCCTTGGAGAAATGGTGGAATCCAGACCTGGGAGAAGGATTATAGGAGGTGAACCTGGAAAATCTGTTCCTATCATAAAAGGAAGCTATCAAACACCACTGGAGTCAAGCCAAAAGGAACCAGGAGCTAACCTGACCAGGCCCCCATTAGTCAAAGATAAAATAATTTGAACATCAAAAATAAAAACTTAGTGGAATGCCTGGGTGGCTCAGATGGTTAAGTGGCTGACTCTTGGTTTTGGCTCAGGTTATGATCTCACAGCCATGGGATCGAGCCCCACATCGGGTTCTGGGCTAGGTGTGGAGCCTGCTTAAGGTCCTCTCTCTCCCTCTCTCTCTGTCCCTCTCCTCAACATGTGCATGTGCGTGAGTGTGTGCTCCTGTAGTCTCTCAAAATAAATACATAAACTTTAAAAATAATAATAATTGGGGCACCTGGGTGGCTCAGTTGGTTAAGCAGCCGAGTCTTGATTTTGACTCAGGTCATGATCTCACAGTTGGTGAGTTCAAGCCCCACTTCGGGACCTTCACTGTCAGCACGGAGCCTCCTTGGGATTCTCTCTCCCCCTCTCTTTCTGCCTCTCTACCTCTCTCTCTCGAATAAATAAATGTCAAAAAATTAAAAATAAAAGTAATAAAACCTTAGTAAATTGAACATAAAAACACATTTGTGTTCATGAATTCATTAGAATAGATAAAAACAAACAAAAACCACCTCTTTGTTTGCTCAGGACGCTAGGGAACCAACTCACTATTTTGAAAATAGGTTAATGAAGACAAAGATGATCCTGACTGCTGTATGAACTCTCCCTTTGGGTGTTGAAATAGTTGATGAAGGGAAGTTTGTGTCTAGAGAAGTAGACAAGGTAATCAATGAAAAGGGGACAATACAATCAGAGTGTCACTGGTTTTGCAACCCCCAGTGAAATAACAAATCTAGGAACGATCATGGCTGCTAATGTTTCTGAGATGACCAGACATTGTGCCTCCCAATGAAAGGACACAGTACTTTGTCCGAATCCAGCGTGGATTTTAAAAAATATAACGAGCAGAATGGCGCCTGGTGGCTCAGTCGGTTAAGGTCCGACTTCGGCTCAGGTTATGATCTCATGGTTCATGGATTCAAGCCCCGCATCGGGCTCTGTGCTGATGGCTCAGAGCCTGGAGCCTGCTTCGGGTCCTGTGTCTCCCTCTCTCTCTGCCCCTTCCCCACTCACGTTCTGTCTCTCTCTGTCTCTCAAAAATAAATAAACATTAAAAAGTTTTTTAAAAATATAATGAGCAGAGAAAAATACAGACACCCTGGGGATGCAGCTAGCTAAGACTGGACAGTGGGCAACCAGGGCAGTGTCATCCAGCAAGGGTTCCCAGGCTGGCAGTCAGCATCACTGGGGAGCTTGTGAGAATGCAAATTCTCAGGCCCTACCCCAGAACTACTTAATCAGGAATCTCTGAGGCTGGGCCCAGAGATCCGTATTTTAGCAAGCTCTTCATGTTTGTTAATTCTTTTGCATGCTAAAGTGTGAGAAGCACTGATATCCAGGGGAAGCAATCTGATTACTTCAATAAATGAACTGCAAAAAAAAAAAACAAAAAACAAAAAACAAACAAACAAACAAACAAACAAGAAGAAAACTTCTGGATTTGTAAAGATTTTTTAAAAAATCAGCAATATGCAGTATGTGAACTTTGTTTGGCTCCTGATTTGTAAACACCGACTTGATATTTGATATTAAGAAGTTATTGTGCATTTTTGAAGGTACGATAGCGGTCTTGTGGTTACATTTCAAAGAGTCCTTTCTTTAAGCAAAAATGTACTCGTATGTTGTGCATGAAATGATGTCAGTATTTGAGATTTGTTTGTAAGTGATTCTGGGGTGGGAGGAGGGGAAACAGGCAGCGATAGGCCAGAAACAATATTAACCACGTCTTCGGAACTACTGAGGCTGGGGGTTGGAGGCATGGGAGCTCCCTATACGACGCTCTCTCTCCCTTTTTCAATATTTTTCAAGCTTTCTATAATAAGATGGTTTTTCAAAAAAGGACTGGCTCAGGAAAATAATATAGCAAATATAACAAAATGTTACCAATTGTTACCTGGATTGATGGATGTATTAGGGTGGTTATTACATTTTTTTCTGTACTTTTCAACGTGCTTGAAAATGCTCGTAAGTCAATAAAAAAACTTCCCTGGAAAAAAATCTGAAGTAGGTGCTCATGCTTAAAAAGCGGGCATCACTGTAGAAAATTCACATCACCGTGCTGTGTGCGAGACGAGCTCCACGCGGTCTCTGCCCAGTTCTGGGCCCTTCCTGCTCCTCTGCCTTCTGGAACCAGAGCATCTGGGAAGAAAATCTCTGCCCCAGCCGATCTGCTCCCAATTCCAACAAACGTGAGGGTCCTTTACGCGTCCTGGGACGTTAAGTGATAACGTTCTGTTCCGCGTATTTGTTAGTTCGTTTGGTAGCTTCGTCTTTTTTGCTGCATACGATTCCATCGTAGGGATATACCTCAAATTATTTAATGGAAACTTGGGTTGTGTCCAGTTTTTAAGTGTTGTGAGTAGACCGTCAACGAGCATTCTCGTGAGTGCCACGTGCCGGGCATGGGCACACACCTACCTGGGGTGTCCACCCAGGAGTGGGGTTCCTGCCTCGTGGGAACATCGTGACCCTATATTTACCTTTAGCAGGTACCTGGCAAAGCAGTGCCGAGGTCGTGGCCGCCGCGCCTCCCACCAGCAACGCATGGACGTCCCCGCTGCTTCCTCTTCGCGGTGACACAACTGCCACCGTATTTTGCCATTCTGTTATCACCCTGGTTTAGAAGCCCCCCTCGAAAGTGTCCCGTGTTCTTCTGCAGAACTGGCGCCCCTCCTCTGGCTCCTCCCTCTGTCGCAGCTCCTAACGTCTCCGCGGAAGCATCTCGTTCCTGAGGGTCACCTGTCATTAGAGTCCAGACCCCTCCAGCGCAGGGCACCGCCTTATTCCTCTCGGCATCCCGGGGAGGTGTCGGCCCGGCGCACAGTCCCTGCTCAGTTGTTTGATTCAATGAGGAAATGAATGGATTCATCGGCCAATCCGTCAACGTTCTTAAAGACCTAAGAGCCTATTTACCTGGCAGGACTTGGTACGCATTTCATATAAACAACTAAACTCCTGGGGCCATGTGAACCTGTTTTCCATAGCTATAACACACAGGAAAATTTGGCCTGAAATTCAGAGGAGTCTCAGGGATCGGACGTGTTTTCCCTCTCCAAGGCCTCCCGTGCACCAGGACGGGAGGCGCGGAGAAACAGGGCTCACCTGCCGGAAAGGTGCTGCCTTGCTTGGCCCCAAGCTTCGATAGCGTGGATCCCCCTGGCCACCATCTTGCCACGAACACAGAAAACAGCATCCGCACACTCACGTCTTCAGTCCTTGCGCCGACCGGCAATCTTCTCTTCGTGGAGGTTTAGCGACGCACCAACGCCACCCCGCGCTGACCCCGTCTCCGAGTCCAGGAATTCTCGGAAGCGACCTCGTGGTCCAGACGCGCACGCCACGAGGAGAATGATCGCGGAGACGCCACGTGGGTCATGTCCGACAGACACGTGCACGTACCGGCTGCCATCGGGCGGAGGGGGGTGGAAGATCCACTGCCGGGGGAATACCCCGTGTGGATCGTTGTAACCACCAGCAACGAAATGACAGAGCCCTTCTCCAGGCCACTATCTGGCTTTCGCTGAACTTCTGCAAGACGATTACACCGGTGGGCTGACCCCTGCCACTTGGGTTGTGAGCGTTTCTGTAGGCAGAGGGTACTGCAGAATGGGAAAAACATCACGGAGACCGAGTGCTGACAAAAGCAGAGCCGGGAGAAAGGTTGCGGAGGTCAGAACGTGTTACCTGCATCCCCTCAAGTCACACCAGCCTGGGGGGGAGGGGGGAGGCTGCATCGTTGCATTTATCTGCGTTTCCACTGCATTTGCAATGGCGGCTCTTGCGCCCCTGAAGGCACAAGACTCAGCCCTTTACCTCCAGGTGGCTCCTAAGACTGTGCGTGTGTGATCCGAGCAAATGCCCTCGGCCTCCGCTGGCCCCCTCCCCTCCCTGGTGTGGTCCCCAGCCCCATCTTCCTGCAGCTGCGCACCAGAAAACACCAGAAGGGCCAGATGCCCTGTGCCGGCCCCAGCAGCATGCGCTGCGACAGATGACCCGTCAGGCCGCCTCGTCTGCAAATGTCCCCTGGGGATTGTAGTGTCAGTTCGGGTTAAAAAAAAAAAAAAAAAAAGAAAAAAAAAAGACGGCGGTGGGAGTCTCCCCATACTTACCTGCCCTGTTCCCCCAAGGAAAGCAGGCCCTGCGTGGCTGGCCCTCTTTCTCCGGCTTGCGGGGGTAGCTCACTTCTGCCGGGCAGACTCCTGGGCTTCGTGCTACAGGAGGAGAGAACGGGCATAGGAGAACGGGAGAAAGGCCAGCAAGAGAGGTGACGGCTTCACCTGAAGCCTGTGACAGGGACACTGGGGAACACCTATGTAAGAAAGCTGGGGAGTGGGCGGAGCTAAGGGGTTGGGAGGGTGGAGCAAAGGTGCCTGATTTGGGAGGCAGAGGACAGCTGAATTGGGGGAAGCAAAAAAGGGGACTCCAAATAACGGGGTGAAAGTTCCTGCTATGATTTAGAGCCCCCAGAAGGACTGGACTTCCTACGGACTCGTTTGTGGCTTTGAAACCATACTCCTTGAGAGTGACGTCAGCTGTGGCCTGAGTAGGGCGCATCCACAAGGCACGTCTCTTCCTAGGACTCAGATGTGAACAAATCTAACCACGGGGCGGCCTGCGTACTCAGCCTGGCCCGTCCTCTCAGATCTAAGCCAAGGCTTCCTAGGAGACCTGCAGGCTGAAGGACCCTGTCCCCCCCCAAGGATGATTCTGGGCAGGAGGGCTGCCCCTACCCCCGTCTGCCCGCCCAGGTCAGTGTCCCCTCAGTGAGTAAGGCTGGGGGCTAGGCCAGAACAGAAATAAACATTCAAGAAGGGTTTCATCCCGCAGCTTTTCTCACCCACCTGGGCTGGGCCCTGCAGCCCTGGAAACAGCCCTTTCCCAGGAAGGCCAGAGTCACAAGAACTGTTCTCTGTCCTTAGTGACAAATTTGGCCAAAGCTCAAGCCCTAGTCAATTATTCAGATAAATTCGAACAACATCACATGGGCAGTTAGGTTTAGTTTTTTTTTTTTTTTAATGTTTCTTTATTTTTGAGAGAGACAGACAGACAGAGTGTGAGTTCGGGAGAGAGAGAGGGAGACACAGAATCCGAAGCAGGCTCCATCCAGGCTCTGAGCTGTCAGCACACAGCCCTATGCGGGGCTCGAAACCACAAACCGCGGGATCATGACCTGTGCCGAAGTTGGACACTCAACCGACTGAGCCACCCAGGCGCCCCAAGATTAGTTCATTTTAACCCAATTAGGCTGAATATTTACGCTGCTTGGATTCATAGGCACACACACCGATGAAGGAACGTGAATACGTGACTGATGGGAGGGAGACTGTGGTGTTTGAAAGGTGTTTCCAAGCCCACGAATGTCTTATTCAATCGCCAGTGACACAAAATGATGCTAGCTAGTAGTGATGGGGGGAAAAGCAAGACTTAAATTACATATCCCATAAATTCTGTGTTTCTATTATTGTCCTATTTCCCTCTTTTTCTTTCTCTCTCTGGAGCCGTGTAACTAACTGAATATGAAAACTGAGAGAAAATACACCAAAATAGTCACACTGGTTACCTGGGGTTGATGGAATCGTGGGTGACTTTTGCTTCCCTATTAGAATTTTTTGCTATTTCAGTTTTTTCTTAAATTATATTCAGTTAGCCTTTGCTATATACCAAACTACTCCAAAATGTAGCTGTTTTAAAACAAGGAACAAGAGGGGCGCCTGGGTGGCTCAGTCGGTTGAGTGTCCGACTCCGGCTCAGGTCATGATCTCGCGGTCTGTGAGTTCGAGCCCCGCGTCAGGCTCTGTGCTGACAGCTCAGAGCCCGGAGCCTGCTTTAGATTCTGTGTCCCCCTGTCTCTCCGCCCCACCCCTGCTTGTGCTCTCTCTCTTTCAAAAATGAATAAGCAATAAAAACATATTTAAAAATAAATAACTGGGGCGCCTGGGTGGCGCAGTCGGTTGGGCGTCCGACTTCAGCCAGGTCACGATCTCGCGGTCCGTGAGTTCGAGCCACGCGTCGGGCTCTGGGCTGACGGCTCAGAGCCTGGAGCCTGTTTCCGATTCTGTGTCTCCCTCTCTCTCTGGCCCTGCCCCGTTCATGCTCTGTCTCTCTCTGTCCCAAAAATAAATAAACGTTGAAAAAAAAAATTAAAAAAAACCATTAATTTATTAAATAAATAAATAAATAAATAAATAAATAAATAAATAAAACAAGGAACAAGAAATGTTATTCCTCATGATTCTGCGGGCCGGCGGGCTTGTCATTGGGTGCAGGCCAGCTTGGTATGTTTCTGTAGTCACCCATCAACGAGGCTGGGTCAGGGTGGCCTCGCGTGAACAAATTCGAATTTCTGATGATCGGCAGGTTGGTTGTTTTCAGGGCTTGAGGTGGGTAGGGCATCTCTACATGGAGTCACTGCTCATTTTCCATGGGCCAGCCGGGGCTCGTCGTGTGATGGTCTCAGGGGTCCAAAGAACAGGAGGAAAGGCCAAGTCCTACTGCCAACACTCTTTCCAAGCTTCCGCCTGAGTCACACTTGCTCCTGTCCATTGGCCAAGGTAAGTGACATGCCCACCTAGGATGGCAGGGTGAAACAGACCCTGCCCCAGGCAGCAAAGGCCAGGCACATGGCGGGGGGAGGGAAGCCATGGCTGTGTGGCAAGACATGCATGACCTTTGAAATCAGGAAGAAAGAAGCTCATTCTTACAGAAAGGATAGAAGAAATTTTTATCAAGAGATTTGGAATTTTGGTTGAGAGTTCAAGAAGCCAGGGCTTTCTAAGGAAATGAGATGCTCACAGAAGTAGTGAGTCATTTGTAGGCAAGATCAATTACCATTTCTTTTCTTTTTTTTTTTTTTTTTAATTTTTTTTTTCAACGTTTATTTTTGGGACAGAGAGAGACAGAGCATGAATGGGGGAGGGGCAGAGAGAGAGGGAGACACAGAATCGGAAACAGGCTCCAGGCTCTGAACCATCAGCCCAGAGCCCGACACGGGGCTCGAACTCACGGACCGCGAGATCGTGACCTGGCTGAAGTCGGACGCTTAACCGACTGCGCCACCCAGGCGCCCCTACCATTTATTTTCAAATGACATGGCAGATACTCCTTCACCTCGTTTAAAAGGATTCCTTTTTCAAGGCCTTCTTCTTCATCAGTTAAAAAGAAATGTTTTTGGGGGGCGCCTGTGCGCCTCAGTCGGTTGACTCTTGATTTCGGCTTGGGTCATGATCTTGTGGTTCGTGAGTTTGAGCCCTCGGGCTCTGTGCTGACAGCAGAGAGCCTGCTTGGGGTTCTCTCTCCCTCTCCCTCTGTCTCTGCCCCTTCCCCACTCACTCTCTCTCTCTCAAAATAAATATACACTTAAAAATTAATTAATTCAAAAAAAATGTTTGTGGGAGGCAGGATTTTGGTCCCCCGTGTTTAATGCCTGTGAATAAGTTAAGTCACAAAAGGAGAGAGTAAGCTTGCAGAAGGAAGTAAGGTTGCTAATTAGCTGACCATGAAATAGTGAGGATATCCTGAATTTTCTGGGTGGGCAAAAGAGTCCGAGAGATGCGAGGGGAGAAGAGGCAGGGGGGATTTGAGGTTTCACGGAGCTCCGACTCACCGTTGCTGGATCTGAAGACAGAGGAGTGGCCATGGGTCAAGGAGAGTGAGTCAGCTGTCAGCTGACAGCCAGCAGGGACGCGGGGACCCCAAGGGAACCCACACGTAAGAAACTGACTTCTGCCAACAGATTGGATGAGCTTGGAAGTGGGTTCATCCCCAGAGCCCCCAGAAAGGAATCCAACCTCGCGGATGCGAGCCCCCAGAAAGGAATCCAACCTCGCGGATGCCTTTGTGTTCTCCTGCTGGGACCCATATCACACTTCCGACTTACGGAACTGCCAAATAATAAATTTGTGTTGCTTTCAGTTTGTGGTAATTTGTCGGAACGGCAGTTGGAAACCAGAGCAAGGTTCAGGATAAAAATTTTAGAAACTATCTAAAAAAGCACAAAGAAAAGAAAAAAAAGCAAGAACCCCCCACCTATACTATTGTTACAGTGATCACATTTGACTTGAGATATATTTTTATCTGTTTAGCTATCTTAACCCAGTTTGAGAGCATACTGGACATACATCTTATAATTGATTTTTTTTTGTTTTTATTTAACAGATATCAATAGTATCCTGTGTCAATAAGTTGCTTTTTCCATCCTTGAAGACAGAACTGTCATCAGATACTAGAAGCATCCATGTGGAGGTCACACAGGATGTGGGAACTTAGCAGTGGTGGCCAGGACCTGCTTTCTGGAAGAGAGGGGGGTTTTGAAGAGTGAGCAGGAGTTTGGTAGGTGAAGACATTTAGGGTGACTTTCCCAGTAGGAGGAATAGTGTGGACAAAGATTTGGAGGAATGAGCCCAGAGCACGTTGCCTGCAGCTTGCCCTTCTAGTCTAGAGGGTAGAGAAGGGGCTGGGAAGGGCAGGAGGAAGGCTGGGGTCAGACCACCGCCCCCCAGGCCCCTTGACACTGCTGTGCTTAAGCTCTGGGAAAGCAACACCTGAAAGACCATCCTCTTACCTGGGTCCTGTCGCTGTTTCCTTCGGGAGATGCCTTGTGGACAAGTGACTTCGGACTTGCCTGTGTACAAGGGCTGTAGGTGGGGCGTCTGGGAGGCTGTCGGTCAAGCGTCCGACTCTTGACTTCAGCTCAGCTCGTGATCTCACTGTTTGTGAGTTCGAGTCCCCCGCACTGAGGCTCTGCGCTGACAGCATGGAGCCTGCTTGGGATTCTCTCTCTCTCCCTCTCTCTCTCTCTCCCTCTCTCTCTGCCCCTCCCCCACTTGCATGCATGCTCTCTCTCTCTCTCATAATAAATAAACTTTAAAAAAAGAAAAAGAAAAAGACCTGTGGCTGTTACTCCAGGGACGATCTGGGCAAACCGGGTTTTCCTAGAACGACAGTCCGACACCAGCAAACTGCATTCAGTGACAGTGGCTTCAATACGGTTCTTACCTTGCAGCCTCTTTGGAAAAAGGGAGAAGATTCGAATCCCTTCGCACCAAGTGACTGCAGAACGGGGATCGCTGCCAGGGACAAAAGCACGTGTGATTACCACCAACTTACAAGCGAGCTTTGGCAGACAGACTTCATCGGGTGCAATGTGCCCACCTGACGCGTTCCGGAAGCGCTGTGGCGGGGCGTGTTTTCTGGTCTGGGGTTTGCTTGTAAAAACTCTCGGCTTCCAAGCAGCTGCTGAAATGGGCAGCAGACGGTTGTGTGGGGGAGCCCCCTTGCCCTCCTCGGGGACACAGGGAAGACGGGCAGGGACCCTCCGCAAATGTCCCCTCCCTCCCAGGCCACCCCTGCCCAGAGCTTGGGTGCTGGAGTTTCACTTCTTGCTTGTTTGCAAGCAGAAGACGGGAAGAACAGGGACCGCTCCCGAAAGTTCCGAGACTTTCTATCCTGGAAGAATGAAGTAATTCCCACTCTTGTCTCCAGCCGGGGCGGGGGGGTGGGGGGGTGGGGGGAGAGTCATGTGAGCCGCCCCCTCCTGCGTTTCCCCAGCACGGCACCTTCCCAAGCCGGGGAGATGGCTGAGGGTTGCCATGGCCCTGGCTTTCTCCGGGGCCCCCAGCGTGTCGTCCACGTCCACGTCCGCGTGTCCCAATGTCTGCAGACCCAAGCCTGAAACATAGAACGCGCTCTCCCGGCCCCTTCCCCAAACTCGCCTCCCTCCTAATCCAGCCCTAATTCCACCTGGGCACTCCGTCTGCTGCCCTTGAAAACATGAAAGAACAGCTGCTCGCTGGGACATAATGGTTGTCTTTGTTACCCCTTGAAGGACTGGAAGGAACCTTTAAAATGTCACTTCCCCGCAGATTTCACGCGGCCAAAGTGAAACCGATTTTAAAGTCACAGCTTGCACTTGGAGGTTTACTTGCTGGGGGGCGCGTCCCTTTCTGCCTTTCAGCCGGCTCACCCCTTGGGGCTGACACAGACATACGGGGCTCTCTCGGAAACCCTAAAATGCTTGCAGGTTCTAAATCTTTCCTCCCGGAGCTTAAAGGAGGAGGCACCCCCAAGGATGTCCTAGAGCTATGACCGAGCACTTTGGCATTAAGGACATTCGGTATTCTTCCTGACTTCCTTGTCTCTCCAAGCGGCAATTCTGGTTGTGTTCGTCTTAGAAATGACTGCTTTTGTAAGACTGGACGGATCATCGGAGAGAGTAGCCAATTCCTTTCCTGGCCTGGCCTGGCATCTGCTGGCGAGTAGGCCTGCTCTTTGGGGCAATGAGCTCAGGCCGTCGTCTGCTCAGGGCGTAGAGCCTGCATTTATTCTGGATGCCGGCAAGAAGGCTGGCAAAGAATCGCATCCTGCTTTTCCAAGTCGAGGCTAGGTCCTGCCCCGCACCCCACCCCACCCCCCACCCCAGGCTTAAAAGCCCATGAGCCTCCATCTGCATTTTTTGCCTCCAAGGCTTGGCTCAGGGGGGCCCCTAGGTTTCTTCATAAGGTCACTTCCAGATGGTGCAGTGGCTTCCAGAACGATTCCGAGGGTGCACGTGGGCTTCGTAGGAGAGAAGGCAGCCGTTGGTTACGGAATGGCCTTGGGCATGCAATGGGGAGAAAGTTAAGTCCTCTTTGCAGGCCCCCGAGGAGTCTGTGCTCCCTGTCCCTATTAGAGGGGTTCTCTGGCAAGTAGTGGTTGAGACTCCCGGGGTCTGGGCTCCCTCTTCTCAGCAGGAGAGGTGAGCTTGGCCCGCAGACCAGATGGCTTCCCCATTTAGTGGGGCTTCTTTCTCAGGGGATTCATTGACGACCCCCCCCCACCGACACCCCCATGCACACATCCCACCCACCTGAACCCTCAGTCTACAACATTGTCGTTCCCTCCCAGCGGTAATGAGTACTTCACACACGACCTCTTGACAGGCGTGTTAAGATTTCTTCAAACGGATGTACGGGTTTCCATAGCCATTTCTCTGTTGTTGGACATTTGGCTCATTCCCATTTTTTTTTTCCTCTTAAAAAGAAGACTGTAGTTAAATTTCTTTCATAATGCCCTTTCAAAACTTTCGAAGGTTCTAGAATTCTAGCGTAGGCTTGTTAGTTCAAAAGCAGCTTAGATATACACGTCTAAGTTGATTTCAAAAGAGTTGTAGCAATGTATTGTCCAGACAGCAATTTTTTTTTGTTTTTATTTGAGAGAGAGAGAGAGAGAGAGAGAGAGAGAGAGCGTGTGCGCACACAAGTGGGGGAGGAGCAGAGGCAGAGGCAGAGGGAGAGTGAATCTTAAGCAGGCTCCGTGCTGAGCGTGGGTTCCATCCCACCATCCTGGGATTACAACCTGATCCGAAATCAAGAGTCTGATGCTCAACCAACTGAGCCACCCAGGCACCCCCAGACAGTAATTTTTAAAATTACTTTAAGAATTTGAGAGGTAAATAGTTGTGATTTAGATCTTAAGATAACATAATTTGTTGTTTTCATCTAATTACAAAGGTAGAAAAATTGGAAAATATTAAAAAAACCCATAAAAACGTACGAAGGTCACTATTTCCTGGGAGATGAGTTCTGCAACATACTATCAAATCGTTCAGAAAAAATAATATTTAAAGCTTTACATGATGTGTGTGATGCGACAGGTGTATACGTCATGTTATAAATGTGTGTTGTGTGTATAACAGGTATGTTATATACGTCATACATGTGAAATAGAAATGTTACACATTATATATATATCATGTACAATTATATCTAAATTACATAATTTATGTGTATATACATATTATGCATAATATAAAATATTTTATAGACAGAGTCACAATTTGTAGTGTGTGTGTGCGCATGTGCGTGTGGAGAGGGAGGGAGGGAGAGAACAATAAGGAAAATGTGGCAAGATGTTAACACAGTTGGTGAGTCTGGGTGAAGGTATGTGAGCACCCTTCGTACTATGCTTGGAATTTACCTCTAATTGTGATTCTATTTTAAAATATAATTTATAGCTTTTGGATAATATACTTTCTGGGTTTTTTCCCCTCTGCTTAAGAACACTGTTTTTCTGCCAATTTAGGGTTCATATTATTTAGCTTTTTTAGCAGCAGCTTCCTCGCCTCACTCTACCATAAATACGTTGCCATGACCTCGGTACATCATCTTATGGATGTAAGCAATTTCCTTCCTGTGGAACTTTTAAGTTGTTTCCAATTTCTCACTATTAAAAATAATATTTCAGTAAGTGTCCCTGGACACAAATCTTTTTTTTTTTTTTTCCAACGTTTATTTATTTTTGGGACAGAGAGAGACAGAGCATGAACGGGGGAGGGGCAGAGAGAGAGGGAGACACAGAATCGGAAACAGGCTCCAGGCTCGGAGCCATCAGCCCAGAGCCCGACGCGGGGCTCGAACTCACGGACCGCGAGATCGTGACCTGGCTGAAGTCGGACGCTTAACTGACTGCGCCACCCAGGCACCCCTGGACACGAATCTTTAATCACGTCTTTAGTAAACTTCCGTGCTGGGAAGGGCTGCTAACACAAATTGCCCAACACCGCTGGACGGGTTGCGCTCGTCCGCTCGGCCACTGGACTTGCAGGGGCACAGCTTTGTCGGGTGCCAGAAACAGAACCCTGTTCTGAGCAGCTCAGCGGGGAAGCGGGCTCTCCTGTGGGCCTGTGGAGGGTTTGAGGGGCTCCAGATGCAGGAAGCAAAGCCTGGCATTGCAGACCTGCCTGGAGCGTCTCCGTTTTGCAGCCATTTCCCCCGCTTTATCCACTCGCAGCAGGCTGGTGGCTTCTTGGCAAAGCTC